CTCAACCCTTTGAGGGACAGCGGTTACTCCAATGGACATCTTATCGTGTTATCAGGTTACAGGGTGCATGAAAGGGTTAAATGGGTGGTTCCTTGAACCCTTGCAAACTGCCCAAGTTATCATGCAAAATATATATCTGATGACACATTGATTTGGTAGATCAACATGTAAGTCCAACGAAAAGCTGCATGTGCCTGTTTAGTGATGTGATGTCACACACTAAACTACCCGTTACATTCATTCAATCACATCCTTCATATTCCCCATCAACACTTTGGAAATGAAATGATATATGTTATAAATGATATGAGCTACAAAAATCCAAGTCCAAGTGAAACATGAGGAGGCTGGACTTTTATATACGGCTCCAAGATGCTTCAGTCATGCTGCAAATACTCATTTAAACCCCCCCCCCCTTTTCCCACCTCCCAACCCTCTTGACCTTGCAGCCTCTCTGCTTACTTTTTCAAAAAGCTCTGTAGCGACCAGCAGTATGTCTGCAGCACTGAAGCTAATTGGCTTCAAACTCACTGTTCACTGTTAACATCTCATTACTCATTCCACTTGGAATAACTTGCCCACGTTTGCTTGTGTCCAGGGCTCATTAAAAGCAAAGGAAGCCTTTAATTACAAACATTGGATTATTGAGGAGAAGCAACCATCACACGCCATGTCTGAATGCTCTATCTCCCATGCACTTCTCTTTAGTCGAATTCATCATGTGTGAGTTAGCTGGAGTGATCTAGGACAGGAATGCCACAAAAAAAAAATAAATAAATCATCACCAACAATAACATGATCATGAGTCACTTTAAAAAATGATGGTGATGAATTGGCGAGAGTGGTCAATACATTATTATTATTATTATTATTATTATGATTATTATTATTATTATTATTATTTCCATTGTTGCGCATTTTAATAATCCCCTACCTAATGTGCTTGTCAATGAAATGTATGGTAATCTTCCGCTGTGCTAATTGGAACACGTGCCCGAGGCAGCACACATGCGCGTCTCCTCTATAAAGCTGAGCAACACTGAATATTATTAAATAGGAGCATAACGGAGCTGCGCAGTTCGCATCTGCTTAAATTTGAAATGGCCGTTGTTGTTGTTGGTTGTTTGTTTAATATCCTGCTTAAAATGTCGTATTTTGACGTCAGGAGGATGACCTGCAAGCGCGATGGCAACCTGCGTCAAAAGCCTCCCTATCTAATAAAATTCCGCAATAATCCCCACGATCATTTTTCCTCCAATTCGCTTAAGATGCGTGTTAATTATAATGGCGCACTAAATCTTTTTTTTCCGAACATAAGAGTTGCATTCGGTAAAGGACAGCGCAGCATTAAGTAAGGATTACATTCGAAGCGACCATATTGTAAGCCTACATCTGCTTTTTAATCGCCACTCAACGAATGGGGGCGCTTTATTCTTGGCTCTAATAACGGAGATTTTTTAAATGCACGCCTTTATTATTTTAACCTCCATTCGGAATAGAACATCAAAAAAAAAAATATGAGACCGATTTCCTCATTTTATTATGAGCAAATACAAGGGGACTTGATGTTCAGAGAAAAGGGTGTTGGGGGCGGGGCTACATTTCAGCATGGTAATCACTCACCTGGGGCGTGTTGCGTTTATTGACAGCTCTGATGTTAAATGTCTCAAGCTCACTTAGTGTTGTACCTCGAAATTTATTATGTTCCCTGCTCTCTTCAATGTCTGCGTACGCTTCACTGGTTTGACCCTCTGAAGTAACACGGGCGTTTTTTTTTTTTTAACGCATGATTAATTTCTCAGTGGGGCGACCGGCTAATGCATTATGAAAACAGTGAAATGTAGTCCAAAGGGCGTATAATAGCTACATTGTATTGAAATAAGACCCCCCCCCCTCCCCGCTTCACGTCCATGCTTTTGATAACATGAGGCGTTTAATTATTTCCATGCGCTCTGATTTCAAGGGTGACAATACTTGTTAATAAAGTTTGTAACGCAATTTCATGTTTCGCCTCGCCTTGTTTACACGCAAAAAAATAATTTTAATCCATGAGATGTGCACTTCCGATAAACTTTATTTCAACTCAAGAAACGGTGCAGTAAAAAAAAAAACGTCAATCAAATATTGTTAAAAACTCGGTTGTGACGTCAGTGCTGTCAAGCGCTCAGGCAAGTGCGAAATCTTTGCTTGTGTCACGAGACAAAAGCACAGCGCTGTGACGGGGTAAATTACTTTGATAAGGAGCAGATGGGGCTCGCGTGTTCTCGGGCGCGTGCCGCGCATCCCCTATGCACGCGCACATTCAAGAGCAGCGCACAAAAATCTCAACTTGCACCTTAACAGCTGATTGCCGATAGGGAATTGTCTTTTGCAATTAAAATTAATGATTTATAAGGACATACTTTATGACATCCTCAAATGAAAAATACATTTAAAAATAATCTTTGGTTCTCAAGAGCCTTGGGGTGTTATTTTTCAAATCTGAGCTCAGATTTTTTTTGTAAGGAGGTTAGTTTTCACCTGACATTTAAAAAAATTAAAATGTTTGAATCTCAATGAGGCTCAGCTCAGGTCAAATATTTGCCATGTGTGATTTTTATTGTGAAACTGTGACCTTTACTTTCCAAAACATGGCCACTTGGGCAATCCGTCCTAATAATTGTGAGTAATGTTTCACTTCTCCCTCACACAAAGACATTTGAGGAGGGTGACGACATCCTTCAATCTGGGTTAGATGGCGCTATATTTAGGTCTGCCTGCTCCCATCTGTAATTTGGCAGCATATTTTTAGCGGATGGAGTAATTGAGCAGCAGGGCCAGGATGCTCGCTGCATAAGAAAGCAAGTGGAGCAGAGGAATCAAAATCAAGACTTTTTGAGAGAATACTGGTTGAGACCACCGTTTAAAGTCTGATGAATATTGCAACATCCACAAGACCAAGACCCTCTTCAGATGCCTTGTGAGTGACTTTTGTTGTGTACGCTCCTCTGACCCTCAGATGATGTAGCCTTTGTAACTCCTGGAGCAACTTGCACAAGTAGAGAGTTCAATAAATAAATAAATCGATACATTCCTGAAGTGAACTCAAAATTTCCACGCGGCAAACTTTCATAAAATTTAAGTTTGGCACTTCAATAAATTATTTGTAGTTTTGCTGTTGTAAAAATTGTCTTTCCCACATTTCACAACAAAGAAATGCTGTAAAAAGTTTCCAGAAGTATTTGTTTCTTGTGTTGTACCCCAACGTAATAAGTAACATCAATTCAACAAATGTTTTGGAACAAACATCTTGCTTGCTGCATTGTGCTAACATTGTTGCCATAAATATCAATGTTTATAAATTCTATTTTCGGCCCAAAAATTAAAAAGTTCTGGTTTTTTTTTTCCATTCATTGTACAAAAAAAAAACAGTGTGTTGAATATGCTCAGTTTCATTTCATCAAGTGGCTGCACAAAACTGAAATTAGGCATTTTTAAGTAGATGTCTAGTCGACCTAAAAATGTATCTGGATCCAGATGATTTTATTTCACGCAACCACTTGGTGACCTAAATTTGAGTAAACACAGCATATTAACGTCATGGGTGAGCTCAAGCCTATCCGTATCTGGCTTTGGATATGAAGTACACCCCGGAATGGTCGCCGTCCAACCATTGGGCAACTATAGTCAATTATAACACTTCAATTTACCTAACACGCGTGCTTAGGGTATATATGGGAGAACTGTGAGGCAGCGTGCATTGTGCCACGCTGCCCCATTTTTCTTGTAAACTGTGTCATTAATACTATTTTGAGCTATTCAAATATCACTTCCGGTTAATTGTAGACCTTGTGCTGGTGAATGTTTGTCCTTTTATATCTCATCCATCTATTTCCATAGCACTCATCTTAATCATGAGAACAGGTGAGCTAGAGTCTATCCCGGCTCGCCTTGGGCGAGAGGTTGTCTATAGTTGGGCTGGTCGCCAGACAAACCAACACTTCATCATTTCACACTCAGATGCGAATGGACAATTTTGAGTGTACAATCAACCAGGACCTGTTCTTGGAAAACACGCAAACTCCGCTCAGGACGGCCAGTGTCGAACTTTGAATCCTTTCCGAACTGTAATGCTGAAGTGCTAACTACTTCACAACTGTGCTCGACATTAAAACATGTATAAAACAAATTGACACAAAATCACAAGCTTAAAAACTCAAACCAGATGAATACCAAACTGATTGAGGACCTTCAGGTAATACAAGCACCCAACAACATTGTTAGGGGTGGGTTGGGATTGGCCGAAACCGATTTTCCATGTAATTGTAAGCTTGAACATTAACATCCAGTTTGGATATATTTGTCCTCTTGTTCGTTGGGATTTGTCGCAAGCAGCAAGTTGGACTCATGTTGGTGAATAGTTTTCAATAGTACAGTATGGACTGAAAGTTTTTGGCCACCATTAAATTTTTTTCCAATTTTATTGCAATTTCAACGAAAAATAAACCACACACACACACACACACACACACACACACAAACACACACAAAGAAACTAGCGTCTGTGTGCCCTCCAATTGCATTTGAGCAACAGCACAAAGCCGTTCAAACTCACTCCAACGAGGCCCTTATCCACGCAACATTGCTAACTGTCACACACTGGTTTACTACTTTCCAAATTACCGTCAAACTCTTCGCTTTAATACACTTTGCAACAAAGCGGTGGCCTCAGACACTATCCGATATATATTCTCCTCTGTGTTGTTTTATTTTATTGTATTTCCGTTTCATCATGTGAGTGAGTGTGGCGCCTGCATGTATCCCGGGTGGTGGTGGTCGTGGTGGGCTGAGCTCCAGCCACACGCCAATCAAACAGTAGCAAGAGAGAGAGAGAGAGAGAGAGAGAGAGAGAGAGAGAGAGAGAGAGAGAGAGAGAGAGAGAGAGAGAGAGAGAGAGAGACGGATTAAGTCGGCGCGTGGCACCTCTGAAAGGCGAATAAAAGCGGCGCGTGCGTCCGCGGTTTAGTCACATCTGACGAGCTGTTTCACTTTAGTTATACCCGGTAAAGAAAAAAAAAAGAAGGAAAAACATAGCGCCGCCACCAATAAATTGTGGTTATATATTTGATCGTTTTTTAAAAAATGATTTTTTATACTATATAGGATAAAGTGATTTTTATTTCAAATAAGTGGCTGTTTTTTTTTTTTTTTAAACACTCACGATTTGGAGGACTCTCGGCTGTTAGAGGTAAGCACTCGACAATCGCAAATGGGCACTAAATGGGACACTTGATCCACTGAAAAATGTCTCCTTTGCAAGAATAATGTGCGACTGACCCGGTTTCATCCATGAAGATTAATTCTTTAGGCGTCCTTGTTGTGGATTCCATCGTAAAAAAAAAAAAAAAGTATTTTGCTACCTTAAATATAAAATTATAGACAGGCTTCAAATTTGAGTTCATATTTTTCACGATATGTGTCGTAAAATCAATTGTAAACAATCTCCATCGGATGTATTCGTCGGCCGATAAATTTGCCGTTGATGCTGCAAAATGTCATAAATGCGCTCTAAAAGTTTTGGACCTCGTTTAATATTAGTACGCGTTTGCCCGTTTACGTGATGAATCATGAATGAGTTCGCGTTGTAAACCTGTTCAGGAGCGTTTTCGGTATTCCCTTTAAACAAAGCCGATGTCATTATAATTTCAACTCAAACTTGACGTTTTGATTCATAATGTAAACCTATTATGCAGGAATTAGTTCAAATAAATCAAACGGTCATGCTGCTGTTGAAATAACGAATTTATTAACATGCCCACGGGACGATCGCTGCGTTTGGTCAATTCAGGTTTAAAAATACAAGCTCTATTTTTTTCATGAGTTCAATTCGATACACAAATAGTACATAAAAATTGTGTGACAATATAAGAAAGAATCGTGCCTCGTCTTTCCGTTTACAACTTTAAAACTTGAAATAATTGTAAATGTAAAAATCATGCAGACAACGTTCAATCCAAAAGACGTTGCAGGAATGCACGCAAAGCATTTTACAAATTCAAATGCATGATGAAAAAAAAACTTGAAACGTCTTTGCAAAATGAGGCTGATTACATTTAAATTCCACCGATTTGATCGAAGTATTATATTTGAAAATGATATTACACAACATCATTTTTGTAATGTTTTGTAGTTTTGATTTTGATTATTGATATTTTCAAAATACTCTGCAAATGACAAAACCTTGAGCTACATGGACGAGTTTTAATAAAACACCCAAACAACTGATTTATTTGTTGACACGCAATTAATAATTTAATTCAATATAGTATTACATGAGATAGACTATCAAAATAATTTTATCAATGCATTAGTTTGATTGGGCATGTATATGTGCACTTTCTCACCTTCATGGACAGGCTTACCTTTTTAAATGTGTTTTATTTTGTTGTTGTTGTTGTTGTTGCAACAGTTAATTTATTTCACCTGCCTGAATTAGAAATGCATCTTTCATTTTTACTTTAGAATTTATGATCATGACACAAAGAGCAAAACTTTGGGCATGGATTTAATTTAAACCCACATGAATTGTGATATATTCAATTTTTTTTTCACTGCTATTTTGTGTAACTCTAAAGGAAACTGGAATATTTGACGAGTGTCTCTACTTGAGCAGCATCAACACACCTTTGGTCTTCTTTTCTTTTTCTTCCTCTCGCCCTATGCAGTTTTGTTGCGCCACTATGGACAAGTCTCATCTTGCCAATGACATCATCATGACAAGCTCAACAGGCCCATACCCGCAGGAGCCGCTGACTCCTCCCCGGCCCAACCATCACCACTCCTCGTCTTCCTTGTCTTCGCCCTCGCCCTCGTCTTCGTCCTCGCCCCTCAAGCCCAATCAGGTGGGCCAGGTCATCCTGTACGGCGTTCCCATCGTGTCGCTGGTCATCGATAACAACGAGAGACTTTGCTTGGCGCAGATATCCAACACGCTCCTCAAAAACTACAGCTACAATGAGATCCATAACCGCCGCGTTGCGCTGGGCATCACCTGTGTCCAGTGCACCCCCGTTCAGCTGGAAATCCTTCGCCGCGCCGGGGCCATGCCCATCTCGTCTCGCCGCTGCGGCATGATCACCAAACGTGAGGCCGAGCGTCTTTGCAAGTCCTTCCTGGGAGAGAACATGCCTCCCAAACTGCCCGACAACTTTGCCTTCGATGTGACGCACGAGTGCGCTTGGGGTTGCCGCGGTAACTTCATCCCTGCGCGCTACAACAGCTCACGGGCCAAATGCATCAAGTGCTCCTTCTGCAACATGTACTTCTCCCCAAATAAGTTCATCTTTCATTCCCATCGCACGCCGGACGCCAAGTACACGCAGCCCGACGCCGCTAACTTCAACTCCTGGCGGCGGCATCTCAAGCTTAGCGACAAACATCCAGCCGACGAGTTAGTTTATGCTTGGGAGGATGTGAAGGCCATGTTCAATGGAGGGAGTCGGAAGAGGGCCCTGCCCTCCGCGGGTCACTGCCACTCCATGGGTCCCATGAAGACCGTAAGCTCGGTGGTGCCTCACATGATGGGAGGCGACCTGGGCGCCCAGAAAAGAGCACACTTTGACGATGACGACGACCTCGAAGGAGGCGGTTTGTCTCCCCGGAAGACACCGCGAAGTTACCCCGTCATCCCCGTCCCCAGCAAAGGCTTCGGCATGCTCCAAAAGTTCCCCCCCACGTCGATTTTCCCATCACCTTACCCCTTCCCTGCAGCGTTCGGCCTCTGCCAGCAGAAAAAAGATGACAGCGATATTTCGGCCGGGCACAAAGCCACAGGACTGTCGGGTCTTTTATGGCCCGGACGAAAGGACACTTTTTATCCTCCCTTTTGCATGTTTTGGCCCCCGAGGGCAGCGGGTGGCATCCCCGTGCCCACGTACCTGCAGCCTCAGCCCAGCCTCTCCTCACTGGCTGACAATCCCTCCCTTAGGCAGGCCTTCCTGGATCTGTCTGACTCCTCCGAACCGGGAGCCGTAGCTGCCAACGGGAACGGCGTCAGTACAAACATGACCCCTAACAACGGGAGCGCCGCATCGAGATCCGGTCTCTTTGACCCCGACTGCACAATGGTAACCCCTGACCTTCGGCCCGTGACTTCGGAAAGCTGGCTGAAACTCTTAGACAACCCCACACTCCACACCAGAAAGCCCAGCTACGGCTCAGCCTTCCGCCCCGTCATCAAGGACGCAGAGAGCATCGCTAAGCTCCACGGCAACGGAGGAGGCGTCGCCGGAGTGACGGATGAAGAGACGGGCCTCGTCGTCGCAGGGTCGGACCGCCACCCGAGGCTCTCGCCCAGCAGCAGCTGCAGTTACGGCAGCGAAAGCGCGGGGGAAGGCGAAGCGGAGGGAGGGGAAAGCGAAGAGGACGGAGAGGTTGACGTGGAGTCCTCGAAGCAGGAAGACGAAGAAGAAGAGGGGGGCTTCGCCAGCCGGACCCCGCAGACTCAAACAAACCTGTTCCTGCCCGTCGTGAGCAACAGTGCCGGGGAGGAACGGGGGAAGGGGAGGGGGAGTGGTGCGGCGTATCCCGGCAGCTCCCCTCCTTCCGTGGACCCCATCCGACAGGAGTCCCCCAGCTTGCCGGCCTCTTCTCCCGCCAGCCTGCCGCTGTCCAACTCCAGTCCGCCGCACAGAGAGGAGCCATCTTACAAAAACGTAAATATCCCCGCAGGCCACCTCAGCTAATTATTATTTAAATGGCAGCGATGTGATCTGCATAAGCGAATTGATAGGTTGCCTCCTCCCTGTAGGAATCGAAGCAGTCACCCCACCCTGATGTTGGCTAATTGACGCTGGCATGTGGGCCGTTTAATGGCCGCGGTGTGTTTGTTCTCCCAGTGTGACCTCAGCCTGTTAGGGCAACTCTCATCTTTAACCTGTTGACGCTTGCATTAACCTGACTGCTGAGGAGGAAGTAGCGAAGGCACAAACAGGGGAGAATTGACGAACACATGCTATGATTTTACGAACGCGCGTAGAGAGAAAAACATGATCAATATTCAGTATTCAAAAAGCATATCGTTAGAAATAACTCCCAGGGCTGACTCGTTCAAAGAGATTTGATGTTGACTTATTTTATCCCCGCTGTGCTCTGCCGCTATTCAGCATTATAGACATGACGTGCCAATGTCATCATTTCTGAATATGCACAATTCCAGGTGGACAAAAACAGAAATGAAGGACTACCTGCCTACGCAACCAAAGACTCCATGTCAGGTGGGCACAGACGTTTGAAATTGCTGCCATTTATAAGACTTGTCTTGCGGCTGATATACACGCACACGGGTGCTTTATTAACGGAGCTTTGACTTACTATCGATTTCTCGAAAAAGACTTCTTTTTTTTCTTCACTCTGATGTCTGAGCGACTTATTTTATGGCAGCTTTGTTTCATTGCGTGTCTGAATGAGGTTTTTATTTATTTATTTTTTGGGTAACACATTTTTGGAATGTTTCATTTTCTGGTCTCGTTTCTCACACCGACGGCGTCCTCTGATTGTTTTGTGGTGGGGCACCATCCAAAACATTCTCAGGTTTTTTTTTTGGGGGG